ATTTATTTCAAACTGACTTTAAAATCGGGCGCAAGAATAATGCATAATTTAGGTTATGTTACTTATGCTTTTTTATGATATAAATCCACTTTTCTCTTTGTAGTAGCTTTGTGCTTCGAAGTTGGAAACGAATAAAACTTAAATTGACAATTTTTGTTGTATTTTTACAATTTATAACACAGCATTTCCTAAATCCCATTTTCTTCAGTGACAGAAGGTGTAAATAAACAAAACGAATATGAAATATGACAATTGACAATATGAATTTATGAAATCTATGAAATGTGCAGTAAAAAATGCAAAATTTCTCCGCTACTCGCGCACGATCGTTTCTCGTATCCCCTCCAAGTACTTGCACGTCGCCAATACATGTTCATCTTTGTTCTCTTAGTTAGAGTCTTGCTTATCAACACATTTCTATTCATTACATACGTTTTTTTGCCTTCAGAATTCTTTCCTCTGTTCTCTATTTTCCGATTTTCCTTATTATTACTTCCAAGTAGCTAACGGTGGATACAGTTTCAAATTTGTGGTTCGGTGTAATTAGATAGTTCTGTTCTATTGTACCGTCCTTCCCTATCGTCATGTATTTTGTTTTGTGCTGGTTTATCTCTAGTCCTATTTTCTTTGCTTCCTTATCTAATTTTTCAATTGTGCCATTTTATAAGTGCCATATTCGTCTTTGCTATGATGACTAGATCATCTGCATGTGCTATTACTTGAAGTTGATCTGTAATAATGTTTTTGTTTACGAAGTTTGTCCTCCTTATTATTACTCCTAATATCAGCTTAAACAGTGTTGGGGAGATAGAATCATCTTGTTTCACGCCTTTGTTTACTTTGATCTCCTGAGAAGTTGTTCCGTTGAAATTTATCTTTGTCGTGGTGTTCTTTGGACTGTTAGCAAATGTCTCAGTTTTTATGAGACTCCAAGATGCTCTAGCCCTTCCATCATTTTCGTCCGATTCATCATCCAGCCTTCATTTATCACGTCCACTGCTGGACATATGCCTCCCTTAAACTTATCCATTCTTTGCGATTTTGTGCTCTTTGTTGTCACGTACATCGTGAGTCATGCATTCTCGCTACATGGCCTGCCCAATTCCATTTAAGTTCCGCTATGCGTTCTACAACATCAGCAATACTCGTCCTTCTTTGCAGATATTCTTTTCTTATTTGGTACCGCAACGTCACTCCCAGCATAGATCGTTCCATTCGTCTCTGTGCCACTCTCAATTTCGAAGCTGTAGTCTTTGTTAGGGTCATAGTTTCCGCCCCATAGGTCATGACCGGTAATACGCATTGATCAAATACTTTTCTTTTGGGGCTAATTGGTATGTTGGCCCTAAGTGTGCCTCACAGTTTTCCAAAGGCTGCTCACGCTAAAGTAATTCGTCTGTGGATTTCGCATGTTTGGTTATTCCTGCTGATTTTTATTTCGAGACCCAAATACGTATATTTCTCCACCAGTTCTACCACTTTGTTTTGAATAGTTAAGTGGTTATTGGGGACCATATTTGTCATAAACTTAGTTTTGGACAATTGCATTTTGAGGCCCACCTTCGAACATGCAAAGTCCAATTCATTTATATATCTGTGGCTTCTCCTAAATCATCTGTAATAAGGACAATGTCATCTGCGAAACGGAGATGGTTAAGTTTTTCGCCGTGTATTATTACTCTATGGTCCCAATTGACCATCTTAAGGGTATACTTACTCTTGCGTTCTTGAAATCTAGGAATATTACTTGCATTTATCTGTTATATTCTCTCCATTTTTTAATTATTTGCTCCACTGTATGCATGCCGATTTTCCCGGTTTGAACCAGTTCTGATATTTTCGTAATATTAGTTCAGCGCATGATTAAGTTTCATATTTGTTATGTTTGCTAGAATTTTGTATATCGTATTTAATAAGGTTATTGCTCTGCAATTCCCGATCTTCTTTTTTATAGAAAGGCATTATATTACCTCTGTTGCAATCATCTGGTAGTGTGTTTTGTGTCCATATTTGTATTATTAGCTTGTTTGTTTCTTTATGTAAATCTCTTCCTCCGTATTTTATTAGTTCCGCTGCTAATTTCTTCTTCATTCATTCTTTCATCTTCTCCTGCTGCTTTTTCGTTTCTGAGGTTTTTAATTTATTTTTGTACTTCTGTGGGAATTTCTGTTTCGTCGTTATCTTGTACTACTGGTCTTACTTCTTCATCGCAGTGTGTTTCCTACATAGTGAATATCAATTTTTCGTAATATTCTTCCCATATTCTGCTGATATATTTGTCTTCAATTACGGTTTCTCCTTTTTGGCTTGTCAGTCCTCTAATTTTAATGTTTGGCGTATTTTTTGTTGCTTTGACTTTTTTATAATATTGTTTTATTTTATGATTTTTTCTGCCATTTTCAATATCGTCTTACTTTTCATTTAACCAAACATTTTTCGTATTTTTATTGATTGTTCATTTTCCTTGATGGAGTGATTGTAATTGTTTATAAGCTTAAAAATTGCTATGTATTATTACATCATTTTATCATTAAAAAAACAAATGTATATTTTTTTTAATTTTTGTTCATGGGTTAATAGTTTACGACTTAATACGGAGAATAAGTCCCGCATTATTGAGGTCCATTCAGTTAAATTATCTGAACCAGCCTTAGAAATTACATGTTTTTAATAAATCATATAAACAAATTAAATTTCGCAAAAACTATTTTACCAATCTGGCCCATCTTTTGCATACAGAAAGTCTCATAATTTCACATTTTGGGCCCCTCATCACGTGTCCTAGGTATTCCAGTTTTGTGGTTTGTATCATGGACGTATAAACATAGAGTTTGTATAGTGGTGATTGGTTCTGCTTCTTTACCAACTCTCTCCAGTACTTCTTTATTTGTAATTCTATCAGTAAAAAGTTATTAATAATATTTAAAAACAGCGATTTTGTTATTCATTTTGCAATAACTTTTTTGTTTATCATCTGATTTTAATTTAGCATATCCCATTTTGTGTACCTTTTTTTTTAAAAAACAAATATCTAAATTCACAAGTTATGTGTAAAATAATGCGTTTGACGTTTTGATTGTTTATTTCAAAATATTTCTACTAAAAAATTTATGAATCCCTAAATAAGTCTTTTTGTGCTATCTTATACTAAATATTTTGACTGTCAAATCTGTCTATAGACGTTTTCATCTTTCTTGGCGTGTGCGTGTAAAAACACTTGCAATAAGTTGTTTCATCTGTCTTTCCTTGTCTAAGCTCGATTCGTTTACCTCCTCCAGTGGCAGCTATCTGTATTCGTAAAGAGACCGAACTTATCACCGACACCGTATCGGCCAAACGCATCGGTGTTATTGCTACAATACTGGGAGACGTGAGTGGTCTCTTCATTCCCTTCTCATCGCACTTTACCATGACGAACGTGACTCGCACAATTGAATTACGCATCTGTGTATCAGAGAGAGACGAATATTAAAAATTCCTTAGTAGCTTATTTCATGCACACGCCAAGAACGATGAAACCGAGTTTATATAGTTCTGTCGAGTAAAAACCTAATTTAATTGGCTTATTAGGAATGTTTAAGAATGTCGATAGACTACTAACTTTTCTTTTGATATAGTATCCATGCTATTATTGTACAGATCTAATCTTTGACTAATTACGACTATCTATTTAGTTAATGTTTTCTCTCTGTGAGAATTTTACCATTTGAGTCTTTTTTACATGCATGTGCTTCTGTTTTCTCATTGTCATTTCCTTCCCTCTTCGATGAAAAGTAAAATTGTAATTTTTCTTTTTGTATTCCTCAATTTTCCGTAACTGTTCATTTAGCCAATGCTCTTTAGCTGCTGTTATTTCTCTTCTAATTCAACAATTTAAGAGCTTATACTGTCCGCTATTGTTTTTATATCTTCTTCTTTCATTCATGAAAGATATCTACTATTTCATCAGTCATTCATATCTGCTTTTTCTTTGATTTTTATCCTAGTATTTGTTCTCCCGCATCCTTTATGGTTTCTTTAATTTTCTGTCAATTTTTCAGTCTCATCTTTGACTTTTATATTATTTATCCATATAGATTTAAGGTTACCGTTTATTTCCTGTTTAACCTATTTTCTATCCTGTTTAATCTATTTTCTATTTTCTTTTCTAGTATTTTTTAATCTTGTCACATCAATTTTTTTTTTTTTTTTTTTTTTTTTTTTTTCAAAATCGTTTTAGTTATGTCTATTACTGCTACAATAGGAGCGTGAGCCGAGTTTATGTTAGCACATGGGTACGTTTTTGATGATTTTATTGAATTTCTATACTTGTACCTAATTAATCTCTTCACCAGATATGTATTGTAAATTTATCTTATTGGCGATTATCTTTCTTAGCAGTTTAGTAGTTCTATTGAGCTAAGTGATTGTAGTAGGTAATAGGTTTTCTACTATTGCTGGTCTTCCACTGTCTGGTATATGCTTGCTGTTTAAGATTGCATTAAAAAGTACCTCTATGGTTTAAATTATTGTTTCAGCTCCGTATTTTTGTACCTCCGAGTTCATCCTTTGGTATACCATCTGATCCTTCGGCTTTCCTGTTTTTTAATTATTGATACCGTTTTCTCCTCGTTGTACTTTGATCAGCACAATACTGTCTTTATTGTAAAGTAGCCCTGTTTCTATTTTATTTAGATTTTAATATAATCTTTATTCTTTAATCGCGTCCAATATTCTGGTTTTATACTTCTTATCTTACGATTGCAGTGTATTACGTGGAATCGCCAGTTTTTGTCTTTTTCCATATTCTAAACTTTTTTCTGTTCTTATAGTTTTTTTTATGTCTGGAAGGCAAAAGATCATAGAAAAATCCAGAAGAAAGTTTTTATGATTTCTTCAATGACCAGATACAACATTAAAGGAGTTATTATCCTTAGTGTTTTGAATGACATGTCGAGTTTTAATTTTTAGTGTATCAGTAAATACTAAATAATTTCTTTCTAATATTTTTTTTGTTTTAGGAACGCAAGGAGAGGCTTGTAGAAGAAGTCAAGAGACATTTCGGTTATTCTGTAGACCCCAAAGATGAGAGATTCAAAGAAATGCTAGAAAAGAAAGAGAAAGAACAGAGAAAAGCTCTAAAAGAAGAGCGACGCAAACAAAAAGAGGCAAAATTGATGGATAAAGTTTCCAAAAAGGGGAATCATGAGAATCAAGATAATGAAAAAGAAAGTGATGATAAAGAAGAGTCGAGTAAAAATAAGAACATAAAAGAGGAATAAAATGTGTTAAATATAGTTTTAATTTTGAAACTAATTATAGTTGTTATTTAAAATTTTGTTTTAATTTGTTTATCTCCTGTATATTTCATTGCTAAAGGTTATATAAATCCCTTATATTCCTATCTATCGAATACCCATGAAAATAAATATACCTATATATAAAAACTTTAAATTTTAATTGTATGAAAAAAGTTTCTCTTTATAAAAGTTCTGAATGATCAAAACACAGAATACAATCATACAAGAAGTACAGTTTTATCTTGATATTCTGAATTCGACATCGGCAAAAAACATCGATAGGAACGATATATCGAAAAGAAAACATCGATGTTTTTACAAATTTTGAGTAATGTGAAAAGAATAAATTAAATAAGTATTACTTACATAAATGTTTTAACTGCTGAAAAACGTGGTGTAACAATTAAAAATTATCTGTTGATATATATCTTAAACACAACCAAATTATTAGAATGAAAACAAAACAAATAAGTAATATATTAAAGTCCCAATAATGCTTATCAATATTGTGTAAAAATAATAGTTTAGATAGCAGCTTTCCTTTAATTCCTGTTTCGTTGCTGAGTTTATGTTTGGCCAGCTTTAGAAAAGAGTCGTTCAGAGGTACCGATGTGGCTACAGCTACTAAATATTTATGTGCTATAATTGGCAAATTCGGGCACGTAGGTTTATTTTCTTCCCACCATTTAATAGGGTCTACTTTTATTGACAAAACTGAGCATTTTAAAAATAGAGATAACTCAGATGAAAAGTTAAATGTTGATATTTCTTTTGTATTTTCAGATATTAATCTTGAGTGATCTTCCCATAAATCAAATACTTCGGATGTAGCTAAAATAATTAGAATTTAGATTAATTATCAGGCAACGAAGTAAGAAAAAAATGTTTACCTGGTTCTTTATGTTCATTAACGGTAGAAAATTTTTGTTGAGAGATGTCCACCTTCAGTTGCATTTCCTCCTCTAGACTTTGAACTGCTTTTGTACAATCTAATGGAGAAATAAAATACATCTTCCTTAAGCAAGAATGAAAAAGCGTTGAAACTGATAGTATGTCAACTTATTCTGCCATTCCAAAACGTTTGTTACATTCTACCAAGAGAGATTCTTTTAATTTCTTTCCAATTTCGTATTTAGGTGTACTTCCTTCAATTTTCTTCTTTATATTAAAAATCATTGGAATGACAATGCTACTAGTTGTGTATTTTTCACCAGACAGTCGTTTTGTAGTGGTTTCAAGGGGAAGCAATATATCTTAAACCTCTTTTAACTCTTCGGCTTCTCGAGCATTAATCATTACAGATGAATGTCGATTAACAATTTGATTAATTATATATCTTAAGGCTGTTTTATCGGTGCACCAAAACATTGGTACAGTGTTTTCTATGTTATTTACCGCCAAAATGTCTCGAAATTTGGACACGTTATTCGAAATTATGTTGCCTTTAAAAGGATGGTTTTACTTTTTTTTTATTTTTTTGAAACTTGTGTTGAAAAATTGGATTATACTGTTTAACGTTCTATTATAACCAAACTTTTTACGCCCATCACTTGAAAAGAGTTTTTTTTTCTGTAAACGTTGATTTTTTTTTCACCTTTCTGTGTCCAGTAATAATTGAGAAAAGCATGTTCCAACTTTGAAAAAAATTGATAAAAATTACCAAAATCTAATAGTGAAACGTGTTACTCATCATTGGCGTTTAGTTTCACCGTTATCGCCTTCGTGACGTCAAATCTCATGAACGTACGGTCAGTTAGTTCGTGTTAAAACTAATTTGAAAGTCGGTCGGCGCCACTGAGTAAAGATGGTCTGACATAAGCAGTTTAGAAAAGTCAGTGATACGCACATTTCAAATCACAGTGTGCTCTAACTGCTAAAACAGCCTTAATTCGAGAAATCTAGTTATAGAAATAGTACGTTGAATTCCATCTAGTGGAAACTTCTTGAATTAGTTTTTTCACATTATCTGGGTCTTGGGTTTTTCTTAGCTCATCACTAGCATTTACACTGTGCTTAAACCATGTTATTATTTCTTTCATTTTTTTTAACAGTTCTGTCAATGGTTCACTAGATCCAATGGTTCGTTGAACGACTAAATTGATTTGATGTGCAAAACACTTCAGATATTTTCCTTTCTCAAACATTGTCTCCACTGCATTATTGATATTTGCGGATCCATCAGTAATTATGATATAAAATTGTTCCGTTTTAATATCTTCCATAATGGTAGTCAATACTTTCTGCAAATATTTTCCTGTATGTGACTGACATAACTCTTGTTATCCCAATAAACCTTTTAGACTGCATCGTTTCAGTCCATATAATATCTGTAGTAATAGTATACGATGTTCAAGATTGTATTTTTTGGCGAAACAAATTAGTCACAGCGATGTATTTTTTATCTAAAAGAGGATTAATAGTTTTTCTGGGAGGTATTTTGTAGAGGCCACCAGAAATCTGCTTAAGGTTTTTAAACCGTCATTATCGACAATGGATATCGGCTGGTAATCCCGACAAATCACAACAGAATGGAATTTGTCATTTATAAATATTTTGTTCCACTTTCACTATAATATTATAATCTTTTAACAGACTCTACTATTGTTTTTGTCTTTTTAACGAGTGGGAGAATAATAGCTACTTGTACTAGGCTGTTGAGTAATAGAAGATGATGATGTTAATATTTCTAAAAATGAAGAAGAACTTGTGAGAGTGTCGTCAGTATACACTATACACTGTATCAGTAATTACATCTGTACTTTCTTGTACATCACAGTTGACCTTTTTTATAGAATTATTAGACTTGGCATTTTTATAAAATTCTTTGTGTGCTGTTTAGGTGGCATTTTAAATTGGATGTATTGCCGCATTTTTTCAGATCATTGATCATTGATGTTCTTTATTGTGGATTCGTTACTTTTACTCTGCTTCTAATAATGTTTTCCACTACAAAAAATACCGTAGATAAAGAGCTAGTATTCCTTTTGATCCTATTACATGCCTGGTTAAAGGATTATATTATGCTCATATTAGGTGGTCTGGGTTTCTTTTAGTATAAAAATCTGACCGGCAACTGATCTATTACCTCTAAAACCGGCTTGATATTCGCCTAGCTCATTTCTACTTTATTTAGTTTCTCTCTTAGCACCCTGGACAGTATCTTATAACAGGTAGCACATGACAATATATTCTGCTTTTTGTATATAAAATATAATAAAGCCTTTGTCTAGTCCTTGGGTCTATTTTCCTCTTTTCTTATCCTGTTGATAAGCTTCTATACACTTTTTTTGAAGCTCTGCACTTCCCTTTTTAGCATTTCTCTCGCTACTTCAATCTCTTTCTTATACATGACTTATTCCTCCTCCTCCTCCTATTTGCCTTCTCTGTTGAGGTTGGCGATCAATATGGCAAATTTCTCACTGTTCTGGGCTTGATGAATTAATTCATCTCCTCTTGTGTGGGTCCAATCTCTGATGTTTCGTAGCCAAGATTTTTTTTTCGGCCTATGCCTCTTTTGCCTTCAATCTTGCCTTTTAATATTACCTGGAGCTGCTCAAATTCCCTATGGCGCATTATGTGTCCTAGATATGACGTCTTTCTAATTTTGATAATGACTTATTCCAATTGGTGAAGAAAAAACAACAAAATTTAATTGAATTGTTTCTAAGGCTCCTCTTTATTTGATTGATATTCATTAATGTCAAATCGATTCTTATTCCGTTGGTGTTGTCCATATTGGCCACTTTGAGTTTGCGCCACTGGGCACCTTCTCGATGAATGGTTAGGTAGCAGGTCCGAGGACACATCGTACAATCTGTTACGAGATTATAATATTTTAGATTTGATTCCGAAAAGAGGGTAGCGTTCATAAACTGTCTGCTTGCTCCGTTTTATGAATTCGTGTACTTTTCTGCGGTAGTTGGGGCTAGCGAAATCGGCAACAGCATGAATATTAGTCGAATATCCACTTTTTATTTAAAGCGACTTTGCGAAATATTTGAAGTAGAAATTCTCAACATTTTTCGAACAAGCAAAGATGATGTCTTCAACTGGCATGCTTGTTTCAGCACAGCAACGTTCCTATCAGGTGAAACTGCCGAAATATATTTTATCTTCGAGATGTATTTGGTTTTTATTGACCATGTGATTACAGAAATCGATTCTCCCTTCTCACCGTGTGAAGAAATGATCGGAGGTATTCAAATGCTTTTGTGTGAACACCGATAATATCCCCAGGACAAAAGAAAGTCTTCAAAAAGGCCACAGACTGAAAATGAATAGAAGACACAATTTTTTGAAGTAAATATAATATACATACGTCATAATCATTAAAAATCTGTGGCGCATAAACTGGATTTTTTCCTCTGATTAACGGATTTTGAAACATAAAACTTATACATAATTTTTAATTTCTACTTTATTTATTTTATTGTGGTCTGCTGCTTTTTATTTTTATGCCAAAAACGAAGTCACTGGCAAAATTTAGTTGGTTTAATTAAAGTTGATGACTGGATTGACTGGATTTGTTAATAAAAGTAATAAAGGTTATTTAGGCGTAAAGAATTTTAAGTTGTCAATAACTTTAGGTATAATTGGATTTAAAAAATGTTCACCAAAAATTATTTAAAAACACCAAATGAACAATATTTACCTATGAAATAAAAAACTATCCATACTTCTATAAATAAAAAAAGTTGAAGATAATCACAGCGATGAACGATGATGACAAAATTATTACAAAAAATTTCTCTTTTAAGTAAGTATTTTTTATTTAATAATCTAAACCCATTAAATACTTTAATTTTCAAAGACTATTGCATTTACAACATATTCAAAGGACTATAAATGGTGGAAATATCTCTTTAACTTTTGCATGTTCGAAATAATTCAGAGAAATCTTTTTAAAGAAATCTACTACTAGTTGGAGAAATTCAATTATTACAACAGAGATGGCGCTGATATCGAAAAAGGTTATTTTTATTCCTCATGACAAGCAGTCGGGGGGATTGTGAAGAAAACTGGCTTTAGAAGGC